GAAAAAAATGAAGCTTGCTTCTACTCTCATTGATTCTGCAATCCAACCAGGTGGGTAAACCAGAGATGCAAGGGATGTTCCATGAATAGTACAGGATTCTAGCAGTAGGTCAAGGCAACATCAGAAGGTGGATGACAAAGATGTTGCCAAATATCTCCTTTTAAATAGCTTCTGTGCCCCCATCTCTACCTCCTTCTGTCCATCACCACTTTCAAGTTGTTCTGTCCCTTTTCACCTCTGGGAAATTCCTAGCAAAGCAGAGATTTTGAAGGCAATGCAGGTAATAACTACTGCATTTTTTGTATAATGCTCTATGACCTTTTAAGGACATTTATTTGGATTATGTTATTTGATCTTCAACAATTCTCCTATAAAGTTTAACCTATTGGGAAATTTTGGTGCCATTTTAGAACATTCTAATAAAGTCCTTAAATTAACAACCACTTTTTGAGAGTAAATTATATGAGGCACTTTTATATAAAATTATTTCTAACCCCTACAACTCTGCAAATTGTCCCAAGATAGCAAATATACTTAACTTAGGAATGTAGAAAATGTATTAAAACATATACTGTAAAATTACATTAAAATGAAGCATTAACTATTTCACAAAGAATGTTAAATCCTGCATAAATTTAATATGGTGCTATTTATTACCAAAAGTGATGCTATTGTAAGAGAGAAGCCTTCATTTCCCAGCAATGAGCAGGAGGGAACAGGAACGACAATGTAGGACTTCAAAAATCCCTGCTCTAAAAAATATCCTTCTACAATTCCCTGTAATATCTGAATATAACACTTATTTTTTCCCCCCGAACGATCTAAGGTTATATTAAAAACTGGGGTGATCCAACAACTCTAAAACACGGTAATTACTTGATAACACAATAGAAGTTGTACCAATAAACTTCCCTCGTTCTTGCAGATTTCCTTGTTCCAGCTGCACTAGCTCCTCACCTGGTGGGTGGTTTCTATGAGACGCAAACACCTCAACCACAATGGCCTCTACAAGTTCTTCGTGGCGAAGAGCATCTGCAAAGGTCATGCTTGACTGAATCTGCAGTAGTTTCGATTTGGAGGGAGGCATCATTTTTGTGATCACTCAGGGGACAGATCTCCTTCCAAAGAGCATTCCCTGTTAGTGAATGGACTCTGCCAGGCCCAGGCAGGCCCAGGCTGTCCGTGATGCTGCAGACTCTCTAGCAACTGGCTTACCTGCTTCATTCGTTCACCCAGGGAGCTGACAGGAAGGTCTACATAGGCATTCAGCTTTAAAAGGGGCATTCACACCTCGATCTACTGGCTATGAAAGACTTCTCCCTCAGATGATCAGAAAAATCCCCCGAATTTACAAGCTGGCCACGGCAGTCTCCATCTGGGGCACAGAACTTTTGAACAAAAGGGCAGAAAATATAAGTGAGCTGTCACTGAGAACTGCCTATCACTGTCCAGCCTTGTTGTTATGTCACAAAACTGCTCTCAGGTTAGCTGAGGAGCAGGCCCAGGGAGCCCTGGGATCTCCGAAAAGATGAGTAAACATCTCGCTTTTAAAATCCTCTTCAGAAGGGCCTCAAGTGACATCTGGCTGCTTTAACCTGGGGCACTATTTTCTTCCACGGAAACAAAAGTCTCTTCAGGCAATCCTTTCCAATCCAATTCTGTCTTAGCAGCTGAAAAGTTTGTTTCAATAAGAAAAGTCAGCATGTTAGGAGACTTGCAAAAGTTGTGTGTGTCAGAACCGCCATCTTTCCTGTTCATCCCAATGCTCTGCAGACTATCCCTCTCCTGGACTCTAACAAAGAAATCATTGTCTGCTACCCATTAAAAATTTCCATTTCAAAACCATGACTTCTTCAAAACACGAGTCCTCATTCGCAGTTTCTGAAAAATCGTGGAGCTCCTTGCTAAACTACTTCTGATCCTATGCCCATATGTACTGAACAGGTCTCCATCAAAATATTTTTATTATAAATCAATTTGCTAGCACTTAAAAGTCTAAGTGCTTGACAATCATTAAACAAATATTTTCTCAATTTTGTATAACAGAATGTAAAGGGAATGACTCCAAGTACTTTTGCCACTTAGCCAAGTCTTAATCTTTGTCAAATTGCCCTCACACTACAGATTTTACATTTAACTAATTGATAAACAGTTTCCTTTTCCTTTGGCACTTTTCACTGTTTGGCTTCTTTCCACAGATTTTTAGCACAGGTTTGAAACTGGTGTGAGCATGCGCTCCTGGCAAGTGGGTTTTTAGAACTTGAAAAGAAAGAAGAAAGGATTAAAATGTTTGTTTTCTCATTTTCCATTCCTGTCTTGTTCTGTTCTGTTTGCTGCCTACTCAGAAAAACAGAGGGTGTAATAAAAAATAAAAAAAAAATTTTTTAATAAAGGCAAGAACAAAGAAAGTAAAATAGTACCCGAGGGAAGCAGGAATAAAGACGTGGGGAAGATAAACGTTCATAGTTAGCAGCTAAGTCGAGAAGTAAAATGCCAGGAATCAAGCAAGATGGCCACCTGCCAGTTTCAAACATCCCCGTAGTCACAGAAAATTCAAACCAATCTGAAGAAGCTCTGTTGACACTGTGGCAACTTAGGCTCCTTGCCCACTGTGACAGCTTGCCTGCACTAGCTGGAGGCTCGAAGCTAAGAGCTCAAACTCTTTTCGAAGGCCCAATGTAGAAGACTCATGGGCAGGAGCAGACTGGTGGTTGCTGGGGAGGTGGGTAAGAGGGAGGGTGGGGGAAAGCATTGAAGGGATTAAGAAGCACAGATTGGTGGTTACAAAATAGTCATAGGGTACAGCACAGGGAACATAGGCAATAACATTGCGATAACTATGGACGGTGCGAGTTGGGTGCTGGAAATGTTAGGGGAACCTTTTGTAAAGTACATGATTGTCTAATCACTATGCTGTACACCCGAAACCAATACAAAATAATACTGAAAATAAACTGTAATTGTAAAATAAATAAGCAATTTAAAAAAAAAGGATCATGAACAAAAAGAGGAATTATTTGGAATGATAAAGCCATTTCAAACTAAAGCTCTTAAAAACTTTAAAAATACTACCACAAATACAAAAGTACACACCAAGACAAATGCGATTCCTAAGTTTTGGAAATGAGCCATACAGATGTATGCTACACACTGCAAAGGTATTAACGTTTTGATAGGTAGAGATGTCATCACTTCCCAAATCCATTCCCAAGAGATTTAAATGAACAAGACTAGCCCATTGCCAGAAAATACATTATATGCTGGGCCAACTTGCAATTGATTCTGGTTATATGTGACTCTTAACTGCTGTGTTCCAGGTTTTTAGTAAAACTATGGATTTATAGACTGAAAAAGTAGAGAGCCCTGGCCAGTTGGTTGGAGCATCATCCCATATACCAAAAGGTTGTGGGTTCAATTCCCAGTCAGGGCACATACCTAGGTTGCAGGTTTGATTCCTGGTCAGAGTGTGTACAGGAGGCAACCAATTGATGTTTCTCTCTCACCTCAATGTTTCTCTCTCCCTCTAAAAAAACCAAAATCAATGAAAATATATCGTTGGGTGAGGATTAAAAAAAAAGTAGAGTTGCTATATTGGCTGTTTTAAACTGATTGTTAAAGTTAATGTGCTAAAATAAATGTTCATATATCAAATATTTGGCAAATCAAACAGACATATGTACAAACAAAAGCTAGTCACGCTTTTCCACGTATACATCTAATAGAAAATATTTATGTGTGCTGAAAACATTGTACATTGCCATATTTCATGTGTATATATGCACCTGTACCCAAAACCCCTGTAAGACTTGGTCATCCCTTCAGATAAGTTTTAATGTCATGTCCCAAGATCTCAAAGAGCAGAGGCTGTGTTGTCTCCAACGGTAAGTAGCCGAAGTAACTGACCAACGGCCACCAACCCTGGGACAACATGAAGGATGTCTTGATGACTGAGCTTCTTGAAATATTATATTTGCTTAATGCCCTTTCCCTACCTTTGGATCAACTGATAACTATTGAGTTTAGTAAGCTATACAAGCATGTCTTTCTCCTATTCCACTGTTATGCATCAGTGAATTCTTAATTCTTCATGGCTTATTAGTACAGTAAAAACAAACAAACAAACAAACAAACAAACAAATCCAGTCTGCTGCCAAAGCCTAGCCCTGGAATCAGATGGGGGTAGGAGTGGGATTTGCAATCCACAGACATTCTCGTTATCTGAAATGTGGGGCTGGTGGGGCTTGTGGCTTCATAGTCATGGCACGAGAGTAGGAGCCTTCCACACCTGAGGGTGCTAACCAATTCTGTTTGCAGTAGGGCATCACCATTATGACAGTGGAAAAATGCACAAAAATCCACGCGAAGAAAGCAAATGAAAAAAAAAAACCTCCTTATTGCATATTAATCCTTTCTTATTTTTCACTACACACATGAATTTTTTCAAATACAGAGTCATCTATTATTCAAACCCAGGTGGAAAGAAGCTGGTCTGGGAGTGCCAACCCCACCCCGCCCCCACCCAAATGGTTAACAAACAATAATGCACATTCTTACAAAAGTTGGTTTACTGGTGTGATATTTTTCTTAGGAACCTGGGGCTTTCTTTTAAAATGCAAAGAAGACAATGACTGTTCCATTAAGAAATCCACATGGAGCCTGTTACCTGCTTAAGGGGGAAGCATTCCTTTGAGTCTCTATCAGTTAATAAATTTAAGATACTTGGGGAGGTTGGGTGCACTGAACTTTTGGCAGATGTCCAGGACAAAAAGAGCTAATGCATTACTTTACTTTGTTTCTTAATGAGAAAAAATAGTCTGCTGCCAAACCCAACTCAGAATTCAGATGGGAAAGTGGGGAGGGGGATATTTTCCAGTCCATTGATAAAGCAAAATACAGATGATTTTAGAAGAATTTTTCTCATGTGAGCATTCCCTTTAACCAGAGTGAAGGGCTGAGAGAAAATCAGTTGATGTGGTTGGGTCTGCCTTTGCTGTCATTACCTGGATAGAGGTCAGGCCCAGGCCCCGGGGAGCATCCCACTGCCCCATCGGCGGCAGCATCGCGTGGGGAGGTGGCCGGCTGCAGGGGTTGCACGGTTAGGCAATCCGTGAGCAGGTCAGGATGTAGCTCTGCACTGGACCGCAACTAAGAGAAGGAGAAAACAGAAGACAGGTGGAAAAGGAAAGCTGTTTCTTAGAATACCTTCCTGAAATGGCATCATGCCCTGAGGTGCAATGCAATTCAATATTTATCAAGCAACAACCACGGGTTAAGAACTGGGCTTAAGAGGGTCAATAAAAGGGTCAGTTTTCCAATCCTAGTAACACCTGGCAGGTGCTTCAGGAAAAAATGTGGACAGAGGCGGATTTGACTTTAGTCCTGATATTTTGACTTCTGAGAACCCAACTGCCCTATTATATTTCCTTTTATTTGCTCTGTATCTTATCAGAACTTGTAGTGATAACAAAACAAACTCAAGTATATTTAGTCCAGATTGGAAAGTGCTTTTAAAATACATAGATACTACTATGAAAATATCTTGGAGATAATTAAAAAATGTCCATTGAGATTTGGTGCCCATAAATTTTATATTACAGGAAAATACATAAGTTAGATTTTAAAATATTATGGAGCATAATTAAAAGAAGAAAACAATGTCATTAACAGAAACAGAACCCCAACAGTAAGTTACATGACAAAAACAATTTAGATAATCATTTTATCACAATAACAAAATTAATTTTTTATTTATTAAAGCATTACAAAACAATCAAGTCATAAAAATGTGAGAATAAAATGTGAGAAAAGTTATCTGATCTTTTCATGAAAAAGAATTTTGTAAGTGTAACTGAATAGAAAAAAATCACAATGCAAGATTAATGACATAAAAAATATTTATTTTCTGCTTATGTAAAAATGCAGTACCTTAAAAATCTAGCAATATATTTGGTACCAATATTGCAAATAGTTACTGTCTCCAGTGTTTACAGGAAGTACCTAAATTGATACTGTCTTTATCAAGACAAAACTAAACCTTTAGATATAGGGCTGGAGTATACTTATTCATCCAATAAATATTTATTGTGAGACACTCCTCCAGACTAGAGGAATACTGTCTCAGGGAGCTTACACTTAGAGTGGAATAGTGGTGCAGAGAAGGAAGACAGTGAAGAGGGATGAGGGATGCAGTTTTAGAGAGAGGATTAGGGAAAACCTCTTGGACGTGGCACTTGCAAAAAGCTTTGAAAGAAGGAAGGGAGTGAGCTCTACAGATAACGCAGGGGAAGAACCTGACCTCCTGTGTTGCGCTTGGAGTAACGAGCAAGAGTAAGGCTGCAGGGGTGTGAACCTGGGCCTGGTGAAGAGAAATAGAAGATGAAACCAGAGATGTACCTGGGGAGAGGGAACAAGTTTAGTGTCCTTCTCTCTCTCCTTCCCAGAAAAGACAACCCGGAAGGAGGCTTCCGGATCATTTAAAGCTCTTAAATACTCCCTGGCCCGGGAACTCTCCAGTGGTGGAGGTGGAGGCACCCAGCAGAATCCCTGGGTGGGGGCTGCCTCGCCACGCAGCCCTTAGCATGAACACCGGCCTTTAAAAAGGCGACACAGAATGACAATACATATAAGAATATTCAGTACACTTACAAAGAAATGCAATGCTAAAGTTTTTTTTTTTTTTAACTTACCAAATTATTAAATCCTCTAAAAAAGTAGTGGTAGCTAAGGTACAGCGAGAGAGGCATTCTTAAACACTGTTGGTAGAAGTGTACATTGGTACAAACTTTCTATATGATATCTGGTAATAGTTTTTCAAAACCCATAATTTAAACCAGTGATCATAAAATTTGTTTTATGGAAATAGCCATTAGAAAGTTGAAGGAAGATTTTTACCCAAATGTTCCAATGCTTTATAGCATTATTTAAAACACCACCACCAAAAATTAGGAGATGTTCCTTGAACAACCACAATTAGGGCTAATAGTGATCTTATATCCATTTGATGGGATATTACACAACCACTAAAATAGTGCTCATGAAGATAAAAGCAAAACACAAAACTATATATACAAAATAACAAACAAAACACATAAACAAAATACTGTAAGAAAATGCAATCCAATATTAAAACTAATTTTTGTTCCTAGTAACAACATCTCTCTTTTTTTGTTTGTTTGGTACGTGCCCCTAACGGGAACCGAACCCAGGACTCTCTGGTCCGTAGGCTGACGCTCCAACTGCTGAGGCAAACCAGCCAGGGCCCTAGCAACAATATCATGAGTTTATTTCCTCTATAGTTTTTAAAAAGTCCTTTCCTCTGCTTTCCAAATTTTCTGTATTCCAATGACTTGTTGGAACTGGTTTGCACCCGTCCAAGAACATCAATCGTGTGTTTCTTTTTCAAACTTTCCATGCAATGATGTCAGATTGATAGCTTGAAATTGATCATGGTAAGACAATACACACCATGGAAACTGGCAAATGCTACAAACTGGGGCTTTTGCATATGGAGAACTAGTTGTTAAACACTACCAGCACACCATCAACAATGACTGATCCACACTCTGCTCACAAAGAAACACTCACACACACAACATCAGGAATTACTATTTAGAGAACAGTATTTCTTGAATCTCTAAAAGCTTCATAAAGAGACAAACATATGTCCAGGTCTTAGTCCAAGAATATGAAAATGACACAGTGACCCTAAGTATAGGAGCATTTAACACATGGAGTGAATGAGACATAATTATATTATAGTTTCCTCAGCTTTGCCACACTGGAATCTCAACCAAGACTGTCTGAGTTAATGCCTAACCCTCTAAGGGCCTTTGGAAAGTATGTTTGTTATTTGGGTACTAACCTAACACATGCCATGTAAGAAAAACTGGAAAAAAATCAAGGCTAAGAGTGAGTTCTGGTGATCACTTTTAATTTATCTTCCTTTGTTAAAATGTGATCTGGGACCCACATGTTCTACTAAGCATAGACATGAATGTCTCTCTGCTTTCTATTACCAGCTACTCTAGGGTTTTACAGTTATCAGTACCGATGAGGTCTTTCCAAGGAATTTCATGGCCATGGTTACTCCTGGAGTCAAAGGCAGGCAATTCTTCCTTAGCTTCAACAAGTATTCATGTTTTCCAAGAGTGTGATTCTATGCGACTTTGTGGTGAGAGTTAATTCAGTTTTCTCTGGGATTAGGCATGGCTCTAGAAACTGCTCCTTAAATTGAACAAGCCTTTAGGACTTTATGCAAAATTGCCAAAGGAGGGCCATATGCATAGAAATGCAGTAATGATATGTAAATTTACTGTCCCTTCCTCCCTCCCTCCCAGATTAGAGGACCAGGAAAGGGCCTTCCAGACCATTTTAGGCTCTTAAACATTCCAGGGATTATCTAACTGGTGAGGCAGGAGGCACACAACAGAATCTTCTGGGAAGGATGCCTTCCAATAAAATATGGCTTCATCTTTGGAGTAAGAAACTCAACTATTTATATGAAACAAATTATATTATGTGTATTTCAAACATCTTCTTAGCTGCTACAAATATAAAAAAGATGAAAAATTTTCAATGGGGGGTGGTCTCTAATTGTGGTTCTCAAACCTGGGCATGCACTTGCAGCCCCGCCAGAGCCACGGGCTGAGTGGGTCTGGGGTGCACATCTAACAAGTTCCCAGGTCACAAGGATGCTGTCTGTCTGGGGACCACACTTTCAGAGGCACTAAGAATACTGATGAGGAGAGCTAGATTTTTTTTGGTTATGAAAAGAGAAAACAAATTATGAAAATAGGAAATTATAAAAACCAAATTGTCTTTAACACATGAACCTCAAGTAACTGTTTCTTATTATGTCTCTCTTCAGACTAATAATAGTAAATGGTTATATGAGATTCACGTCTTAAAATCAATTTGGATATTTTCTTTCACAGGGATAAAACAGGTTAATAAATTTCAATCCAGTTTAATACCTGCTCTTAGGAGAGAGACTTGCTTTTTATGAAACCTTTACTTTTCTTTATGGAAAGAAGTAAAATTTGAACCCACCGATTATCTGGTTTAAAGGGCTGCTTGTTGGACACCACCAGGGACCTTTATCCGCATTGTAATATATGTGAATGGCGCCCCTGGAGTTGTTCAACTCAGCTGCCCTAACCATACCCCTTTAGTTCCAGAGTAGCACTGCCCCTTCCTTATCCTTCTCATTCATTCATTGAACAAATCTTTCCTGGGCCTCAACCATATGCCTGGCATATTCCTGGCACTGTTCTGGGGCCTTCACATATATCAGCAATTAAAACAAAGATACTCACTGAGTTTATTTTCTGGAGGAGGGAGTAAACAGTAACAAATTCACTACATACGTAAAGTATATAGAAGCTGGTAAGTGCTATGGAAATGAAAGAAAAAGAAAGAAGAGAAGAGAGGTGGGGTTGGGACTGCTGGAGAGAACTGAGGCCTTGTGGAGAAAATATATTCCAGCAAAGACTCGAAGGAGTGGAGGAAATTAGCCAAGTGCATGTCAAGGGGACAAGCATTCAGGTGGGAACTTCGAGGAGGCCAGTGTGGCTGAAGTGGGGTGTGATCTGGACAGAGAGACATAGGGAGTGAGGTCTGAAAGGCGGGGTGCGGGATCATGCAGGACCCCGCAGCCTTCAATTAGCACTTTGTCTCTAGCCTTAGTGCAGCGAGAACCCTTGTAAGGTTTCCACCATTTGTGACCTGGGAGATTCATCTCATCCCCTACTATGGTCCCCGGCCATGCAGACACTTCGCCTCCTGTTCTGTGAGAGCTCCCATGAGCTATGAGGTATGGACACACTGAAGGTCAATCCTGTGTCAACTCGGCTGGGGTACAATACCCAACCATTTAATCAAACAGTAGGTGTTGCTGTAAAGGGATTCTACAGATGGGACTAACATCAATGGTCAGTTGACTTTAAGTAAAGGAGATTATCTTCTATAATCTGGGAGGGTCTCAGCCAATCAGTGAAAGGTCTCAAGAGCCCCAAAACCTCCAGTTTCCTTGGAAAAGAAAAAAATTCTTCCTCAGGGCTGCAGCATCAGCTCCTGCCAAAGCTCCCTGCCTTATAGATTTCTGACTTGCTGACCCCCACAATCACATAAGCCAATGTCTTTTCTGG